CCCCCCCCCCATGGATGCCTAAAAGTCACCTTACATCCGTTAAATAGTATAATGCGTTTTCCAGTGACTAAAGCACTAGCATAAGACACTGCTTTCTCATAAAGATAGTTGAAGTGAACCCAATCCGCAACTCTTGGAACAAGATTTTCTGTTCTCCATAAATTTTGTGCTTCTGATGTCCTCTTCCTATTTACAAATCAGTATGAAGTCAGATATACAGCATTTCCTGGCAGGAAGTCCAGCTGATCAGCCAGCTTGTCTGTTTCCATCCAACATTTTGAGACATTCCTGTTGCATGGTAATGATTCCACTGGGTCAGCATTTCCCAATAGAAAACCGTTCCACTAGAAAGAAACTAACAGCCACTACTCATAGTTGAGTCGGATACATGGACACAGTGTCATGATTCTTTGCACTCAGCATTCAAAGGTACAGTTTTCTAGATCTTGAACAGTTCCTTGACTTTTTTTGGGGGGGAAAGGGGAATAGAAAGGGGAGCTAGGAGCAATTCTTATGTATTTTCAGCATTTGACTTTTAAGAGAGAATGCTATACTTGGGTCTCTATTCTGACAGTGAACTCATTAATATACTCTTCTGGGGTAGTGGTACTTTTCCATTCTTACCTCATACTTTATTTCATCTGAGGACAGTGTGTTTCTTCTTCATATGCTTCACTTTTACATTTCTTTTAAATTAAAATGCCATTTTTGACATGTATGTGGAAAGTTTCTTTAATTTTGGCAAGCATTTTGAACTATCTAATTGAAGGTTCTTAGTTCCCAATTATCATTCTTATATTCATGTATTAAATATTTTATCCCACTCAGTACTACTTGTAATTAATGGCCCTAGCTCTGAGAAATGAGGCTTTTAAAACACCTCAGATATATTATTGTTAATGATTCTGATTTATTCTCATAATATAAATGGAATAAAGCACAGTCACTCACATGCAGGCAGTTCCCATTTTTAGTTCAGATATTGGTTTTCTGTTTCATTCACGAGTGTAAGATCTAGTTAAGAAGCCAAAACTGCCCCGTTAAGTGGAAGGTAACCGAATTAGTGTTCTTGCGAAATTTTCACATCTGTATTGTAATACTGGTTAATCCAGAAAGTACCCTGCTCAGTATTGAATGTCACGCTGTACTTTATTTCTGTGTCTCTGATCCTGCCATGAGCTCTGTCTAGTCAGAGCTCACCGCAGGCTTGGTAGCCCATTATTTTCCTCTCTGACCATGTTTTAAATTCTTCCACCATCTGATAAGTGAGGTAAGTATTGTCATAGTCTTTAATGTTGTACACGAGTTGATATGCTGGAGGGAAGGGATGCCAT